CAAAGAAGGAAAAAAAATCTCAAGAGACTGAGGACACTTTTGTTTTGTGCTCCCGGGCAGCATTCCATCCAACATAATGAGGAGTAGAGTTCCCATGTGTGCTGTTACTATCCTGTGAAAAGTTCAAGTTCACTTCCTGCACATTCTTTTCAAACTAAACTTTGCTTTAAACTGTTGTGTGCTTGGAAAAATATAAATTGAAGTGTTAAAAATCTAAAGAAAACTTGACAGGTTAAAAACTTACACTACTACTACTCACCAATTTAACATGTTTAGCTCTATAACATTTAAATGCACCACTCCAATGTCTAAGAGAAAAACATTTTATGAACATTTTTTAAAGTGTAACTACTGTACAGAAGACTGCCATATGATAGAAACATTTACACTGTGCGCATACAATTATTATTATCATTTTCCTAATCCCTGACTGATCATTTTTAATCTAGCATGTATTATAGTACAGATTAAATTCATCATCCAGCTGCTGCTCTGCAGAATTCTCTCCCCAGGAGCTGAATCATGCCATCTAGCGTAAAATCACGCAGCTTATTCAAATCACGCGAGAATGTGTACAAAACAACAAAGATGGCGCCGGCAACGCTTGTGGGTCGTTTTCAACGAATGTCGGTGATTTTAAAGTAATTTTGAGTGATAAATATTATTTTTTTGCGATCATTGCACTTGCCCGGCAGGCAAATGCAATGAAATTTGTACTCTCCCGACAATAAAAACTACTTGCCCCGGAAGATCAGGCGATGGTTAACATCGAGCCCTGTATATACATAAATTGATCATTTGATACGTTTTTATTAAAATTGCTATTTTATCTTTGATTATACTGAAGACTCTTAGATGGCTTGCAGAGACACAATTTTCTCTTTACCCCATATAATACAGAATCTAGTTCTGAAAAGAGCATCAATTCTGTACTTATCATCTTTAATGTTAGTATATTTATGTGTTTAATAACCACAAAAATTTTTTTTTTTTTTTTTTCCAATATTGCACTTAAATATTACTGCTGCCACCATCTGTATTAGAGGGAAAAAAATGGTAGGGGTGGCCAACGATTGGCAAAGGGTGGCCATGGCCCCCCATCTAGCTCCGCCCCTGGCTAATCCGTAACCTCTGTTTAAACCGAAGCCAAGAGTAACGAGTAACGTTTGTTTTAAAATGTAAGGAAAGAACAGACACTTGTGTGAAAATGTAATGAGTAGAAGTCAGAAGTAGGAAAAAAAAGTAAGTAATGGAGTGACGTATAAATACCTAAAAAGTGTAATTAAGTACAGCAACGAGGTATTTGTACTTAGTAACTTGACACCTCTGTTTATTTATCAGTGACAGTCTCATTTCCATGAACTACCTCAGTAAACTGCAGGTACATCCGGGAGGGATCGATGCGGTGGAGATCTCCGATGAAAGGCAGCGACCAGGGTCCGGGGGGGAAGTTTCTGGGCACCCTGTTCTTAAAAACATTCGCCGCCAGCAGAAAAACAACCACAAACAGGAGGAGAGCCCTGCTGTCAACCCAATCCAAGCCGAGAACCCGGGAGAGACACTCCATCTTCTGACTAAACTGAAGCTGATTACCATGGATTTACTCTTTAAACATGTAAACACGCAGTAAAAAAAAAAACCCGAAGCACGACGTAGGTACTAGTGCTGTCTTTCAAAATAAAAGCTGCAAACTCTATTAATAAAAAAAAAAAAAAAATCATCCAACTTCTAAAAATTCTTAAAATAATAACAATAACATATTGACGTCATCTATTACATTAAATTAATCAGATTTTCTTTTAATTTATTAAAGGGGCAATTTTCAATCCTAATTTATACTGTGACGTCATGATCATACGATCGGTTGTGTTGCAACGATTTATCATAAAATAATAAAAGATACGCAAGTAGAGCGCCAATGCAATTTTTAACACATCCTACACTTTGAACTTTACCAAGCACAAACTTAAAATGACAGATTTCCTCCATAAATGGGCAATAATCACTGACTTTAACCCAAGAAGCAGAGTTCACATGGGCTGAATGCTTCAGCAACAGGCAGAGAGAAAAAGAGCAAAGTACAAACATTTAAAACAAGTGAATCTTTGTCATATGGAAGATAATTAGGGCCACTGAAAAAAAAAAAAAAAAAAAAAAGAAAACAGATTTTTAAATATTATTTCAGTTTTATATAGGGAAAAAGTCAGAATCCTGACTTTAATCTCAGAATTCATAATTTTTTTTCCTCAGAATTCTGACTTTAATCTGCTAAACTTTTGGGTCTTAATGTAGATGGGCACCGTGAAGGCAGAGATGTGGAGCACTCAGCTTCTCTGACAAAGATGTCAGTTGTTTGGGAGGGCCAGTAAACAAATGATGGAATTAGGTCAGGGATTCCCAAACTTTACCATGCCAAGGCCCCCCTACACCAGTACATTGTCAGCTGAGGCCCCCCCTCATATGAAACATGCGTAAACACTCGTGTAAGCTACAGCGACATAATAAAAAAATTAGTGAACAAACCACCTAAATAAAACCACATTTATTTTGTAAAGATGAAGTCACAATTATATTTTATTAAACTTTAATTCATTAATTTAATTTAATGAATAAAATATAACAATAACATAGGCCCACCACTTTAATAACCTTTTTTTAAACCATGAACCTCTTTATACGTTGCAAAAACAGAAAGATTTGTGAGCAAAATAAAAGTTTGTCCCAAATTAAACATGCATGCATTTTTTATAATGCAGGCCTAACAACAAATGTAGGCTACATGAGAGATACATAGACATACCATGCTAATGGGAGCAGTGGGCCTGATGGCTTCTACAGTTTGTCCAGTCTGGGCTGGATGTCTGTCAGAGCAACATGCATGTCATTCTCCACATTCAAACATGATCTGTGGTTAGTTCTCAGTACTTTTAAAGTGGAAAAGCCAGACTCACACAAGTAAGTGGTTGCAAATGGAAGGAAACATTTCAGAGCCCTTTCAGCTACGGTGGGAAACTCTTGTCTTACATACAGCAAGAAATTATTATTTGTAAGCTTTAGGTGAATGGTTTTCATAATGCAGTTATACCCAGACCGGAATATTTAAATTATTTTTATTCAATAAAATAGTTTCATGTATAACTTTTTTTTTTCTCCATCTTCCTGCGGCCCCCACTTTGAAAACCAGGGAATTAGGTGACTGTTTACGTCCCTCAGGGGTCCCTGGTGATGCTATTTAATTAATGGAAGAGCAGAAGGTGTTTAAAACAAGAAAGCTAGTTTAGTCTCTAAAACAGTCATGGCTACGGCTTGATGCTAACATGTTTGTTAGCTGACAAGTTCAGTCAGAATTCTGAGAAAAAACTCATATTCTGAGATTGGTGTCAGAATGAAGAATTTTTTGTCACATTATACTGAAATAAAATTTAAAAATCAGTTAACCTTTTTTATTTCTTCAGTGCCCCTAATCCTCTTCCGTATTGTCAGGATGGCAATACAAAGATATGCAAACATAATTAATGCATATCATAAATACATAGCCTGCTCGTTGATGTGGAAAGTTTCTTTGGAAATTTAAACTATTTTTAAATAGATTAATTACTCTTAGCCCTTAGATTAATTAATTACTCTTACATTAATTACTCTTAGCATCTTATTTTTCCAAAGCAATCCTGGTTTTGCCAATTTGTAAAGCAGAGGCCGCAGAGTACCTACTTTGTTCAGGCCTAAAGGACAGATTATACTTCTGCAACTCGCTAGAACTTCGGCCAATGGTCACGAGAACTTCGGCAACTTCAGAGTGTTTATCTACCAAAACAGCAATGCCGCGTCTGCAAGATTTCACGATCACAGGGATGAATCTAGAGTTGCTAGACATCGAAGAGGAACAGGTACTGTTAATGGAGTTGGCAAAAAGACAAAGGAGGACTCGTAGGTTGTCCAATATAGTTGTTCCTTGGTTTTTAAAAATGGCGTGCCCCTGCAACGAATCGAGAAGGACGACCACACAGACAGCCAGAAAGGCATACCAATGACCAATCACAGCTGCTTTTTTTCTGCGCACTTCTGCTTGAGGTCTGCGTGGGTTCGCGACCGTCCAACGCATTGTCAGGATTTTTTGGAGGTGCACGATGACAGTTGCAGAACCTCTACACAGAGACAGATTTGACGGCTGCATAGGCTATGCGTCAGAAGCATAAATTGGCCTTAAGGCATAAGCAAACTAGACCTTTGAGGCTTCTGGTAAATAGCTTAATTATAACTCAGTTTATTGATATATGTGAATACCATTACACTTGATTTGAGGGTTTTAGCAGGGGTAAGTTCTGACTGATTACACTCATTCAACTCTGTCATGGATAGTCTTTCACCCAAATGACTTGCAGTTATCAGTGACATTTCTCCTAGTAGTAGATCTGGTTTATCTTATCAATCTCTAAATTACCTTTGAAACTGTAAACCTCCACTGACCTACAGCAGCCTGAATTTCACAACAGTTTTTATCTATTTGTTTTTATGAATATATTTTTACTTTTATTTGAATCGACATATTTCCATTTTGCCTGTCATGGAGCTTGTAAACATTAGCTTTTAAAGAACAGATAAGGGATCATTTTATTTCTAGATTTTGTCACATGAGTGTCCGTGGCTTTCAAAACAGAATTAGACCTCTAGCCTTTCATTTAAAGGGAAAACAGAAATTTGCTAATAAAAATTAAACACCAGAAACTGTGGTTTGATCATTCTTAATCCCAAAACTGCTTCTTTAGTCATTTGTGGTAACTATTACCACCCCTCAGATAATTTATAACATGCTTCTTTTTAAGGAAGTCAACATCAGATTGAAATTGTTTAACAGTAAAATCTTAAAAGGAAGGGAATTGCAGCCAACAGAAATGTGATGATCATATTTGAGAGGATCCCTAATAGGGAATATACAGTATATACAGTATATACAGTAGGTACAGGAATTAATCAGACTTCTTTAAAATTTGCCATTTGTTTCATTGCAGCCATTTGCTAATATAAAAAAATCCTATTAAAAAAACACCCCATTTTGACCGAAATCAGTTAGAAAATTCTGTTCATTTATTAAAGAACACGAACTGACATCACTTGTTATAAGTATTTAGACCATTTGCTGTGACATCTATTCTAAACCACATAATGTCCATTTCTTCTGATCCTCCTTGAGATGGTGAAGGCTCTTAGTCACCCAGGTCATAGTCATTCCGAAAAAATTAAAAACAATCCACTGGACTTCAACCTTTCAGACACTTAGATGGGTATGGGGCATTGCAGTCTAACAAAAGAAGCCAACGACCCCCATTCCAAATGGGTGGACCCCTTCCTCGGTTCCAATTTGCATGTTTTCAAAACAAAAACAAGCCTTTGTTGGGCTACTGTATAAAACCTCCAACTCAACGCTATTCCTGACATTTTGAATAGAAAAAGCTTCCTGGATAGGAAGCGAAACGTCTTCAAACTTGGAAATCAAGTCCAGTGGATTGTTTTTAAATTTTTTCGGGATGGCTCTACTCCTTTGTTGGAGTCCTGTCCAAGGAGCTTTGAGGCAGAATTGTGGCAAGGTACAGATCTGGCCAATGTTACAAAATGATGTAGTGTGATATTTGGGTTTTTCTTTTTTGATAAATTTGCAGAAATGTCTTAATATGCATTTTTTTCCTGTAGAGTTTGGGTGCTAAATTTGCAAAGATGAGAAATAAAACTTTTGATTGTAGAGAAATGCTGCCGTTTCTCATTAGCATGTGTAAAATCCATCTCTGCAATTTTGTGATTCAGTCATTATCTGATCAAAATTTGAAATGCTATCCAATGATCTCTTAAATGCAACTAATCTGTAGAGCATTATGGTACAAGGAATGTAAAAAAAAAATAGTTATTTCTCGCTTAGGGGGGAATTAGTTAAAAACAATGTTTTAAATTCACTTCACCCTAGGTTGCTTTAGACAATAATCCCATGTAAAATATTTTTCACTCAAATCATTAAAACACTTATTACATAACCTTTTTTTTAGCAGGTTAGACATGCGAACATTGCACACAACTAATGTAAAGAATTTTGTACTAATATTTGAGAAAATGTTTGGTCATTTAAAATAAAACTTCAGAGATATTATTCTAGACTTGTTATTATAGATAGACTTATTCTGCTACTTTTTCCATCATAACTAAAGGATTTCAATGAGGATACTATGGAAGCTCATTGGTAGAATTCCCTTATGACAGAAAGAAGGCCACGATTCACACCATTTTATCATCCGGAGGGGGGAAACATTTAATTACAAAAGCAAATTCATACAGCTGTCTTAAAAACTTCATACATTCAGGACTGCATCGTCACATCTCAGTTATAATTCCCCCGAAACTCTCATGTCTTTTTAGTTGTTTTATAGTCTCAGCATCGCATTACGTAACTGCACATGCACAGGAATATCATGTCGAAAGCTTACTGGAATTCACGTGTGCTGGTCGACGCCAGCGGTTGCTTTGACACTCGGAGGAATGTTTATACAGATGTTCTCTGTTTATGCCAAACCTCTTAATATATCATCTAATGGCGTACGAATAAGGCATTAGGGACTTTATTATTGACCTCCAGCATGTACTGTTTTGTTGATTAGTAAGTATAGGGCCACGTGTAAGGATATATAAGACAATAAAACTGCTTCTACAATACCAAAGGCATTTTATGACAATAGTGATCAAAGCATTTGATTCTTTTGTGCTCAGTGTGATTTACAGCAAAGTACCTGATTAAAGTCTTTACAACTTAACTTTTTTTTTCACTAACAGGGTCTTTGATTTCAGAGGCAATGCAATAGATGGAGGAACACTGTCAACGACTCTTGTGGTTTAACGTGGTATGGCACAGAGACGATAAGGTTTAGGACCATGAGTTGCTCCTAATTTGTACTCCAGGCTGGGGGCGGCTCTCCTGGGGGATGTGAGATTTTAAACCTCTGAAGGAGGGAAGTGTAAAAGAGGAATAACTCCATCCTGGCCAGCTGCTCCCCAAGACACACACGTTTACCTTAAAACACAAATTACAATCCTCAGTTTTACAGAAATAGAATCAGACCTGTAAATTCAAAAACAGGTATTGCCCTCATGGGGTACAGTCATTGGCAAGTACCTGGTTCGATACCCAAAGCCTCCACTCTGGGCTCTTGAGCAAAACCGTCAACCCCTGATTGCTCCCCGGGCGCCACACAGTAGCAGCCCTCTGCTCACCAAAAGGGTGGGTTAAATGCAGAGTGAATTTCCCAATTTTGGGCCAATAAAGGGATTTACATTACATAATAGTTGTTATGGGTTCGGAAATTAGCAGGAATATTAATCTGTGAGGGTCTGATTAGGGTGGATCATTCCATCATTCCTCTTTACAAATGATGGACCCTGTCTTTTTGCAGAACAGGGACGAACAAGACGTAAAGGCCTGGAGCTCCGCTGTAGATTCGGTGCTTGGCATCCCTGCAACGTTGCTTTTGTGCCAGAGTTAGGCAAGTACATCCTATCTGTATGAGCTTTGGCTTCAGCTAGATCAAGGAGCAAAACCGAAGGGGGTGAGAAAGGTTCAACACACAGGGTTTACCAAAATGGAGGAACAGATCATTGCTAGCCAGTACTGAGAACCAGGAGGTCTTTTGAAACACAAGCTTGAAGGAGACAGAGAATGAAACAGGAACAGGATCCAGTAAGCAAATCTCCCAAAAGGCAGGACAAGGTAGGCAGAGTTACATACACAGGAGAGGAGGCGAGAGCTTTACCAGTGGTAGATAACACTCAGGTGCTGAAGTGCTCGCTCCCTTTAACCCTTTGGTGATAACGTCTGATGGTAACTACTTACGGACGCTCACCCAGCAGCCTCTCTGACGCCACATAGTGGTGGAAATTTAACCGAAATTCTCAAAAATACCAATGGAAACAATTTTTCTGGTCTATGTGAATGGGAGTGTTGGTCTAGAGGTTAGAGCAGTGCACTTGTGATCTGAGAAGGTTGCAAGTACTCGGTTTGATCCCCAAAGCCTCCACTCCACTCCTCTATTGGCCCAAAATGGAGAATTTCCCCATTTTGGGCCAAAAAAGGGATTTACATTACATAAGAGTTGTTAAAGGGCTGGTTACACTCCACACAGCAGTGTGTCGCAGTGAGCTTGTCGCATATATTTTTGATTTATGCACAGTATTGAAGCCTGGTCTGCATTATGTTATTCTAGCCACAAGGGAAAAGGGACAATCAGGAACAGGCTGTGGGTCTAGATATGGCCGAGGCGGTGAGGAATTGGAGGCAAATTTGTCAGACAACGGCAGGACATGAGGGTGAAAAAGAGCGGGTATCCAGGTGGAAAAAGGGTCCCAGCGTTCTTGCGCATCTCGCACTTTTAACTAGTCCAACTTCATTAGTCGTTTTCCACAATGGCGGTCATAAAAACAAAACAAGCCGATAAAGTAACAAACAGGAAATATGGATAGCGGTCCCCAACCACCGGGCCTCTGACCAGTACCGGTCCGTTAGTCATTTGGTACCGGGCAGCACAAGCGGGATTTTCTGCGGTTACAGCGACCATAACAAAGCTACGGAGCAGACTGGACATCAGGAGCACACTTCGTGTGTCGTTGTCTCCGATTACGCCTAGATGGGGTCGGCTTGTTTCAGAGAAACAAGCTCAGGGCTCTCACTAATTAAACATAATGGTGAGTTTTATTTTTATGCTGTTTGTATTTGATTTTATGCCAGTCATATCATTTAATTTGATTGTATTTACTCCCCACACTTTAAAGGCCGGTCAGTGAAAATATTGTCTGACATATAACTGGTCCGTGGTGCAAAAAAGGTTGGGGACTGCTGGTGTAGAGCACAGGTACAGTTGACCAATCTCATGTCTCCTGTCTGCGGCACTGTCTGCGGTCACCTACAATTTTGGAGAGGTGCACTAGAGTGTCTCCGGCAGGGGAGGAGGCACATTTGTATTCACTGCAACTCACATGCAGACGACCTGGTTTCTGAGTATATCAGCCTTAAGGAGACCTGACAAACCCTGCATGCTGCTGTACGTAGTTATTTGCCGCTGTCCAACAAAAGGGAGCTTAGGGGAATTCCTTCTCACCTTCCCTACCAACTTCCTAATAGTATGTGAAGGGTCAAGAGTGGAATGTAATTATTGTATAAAATAAAAAAAGTCTGAGTCTACAAGAAAGAACGTATCATATGCAGAGTGAATTTCCCCACCGTGGGACAACAAATGGATTTACATATACAGATTTGAAACAACCTACTAACCTGCAGAAAAAGGCATGAAGGCTTCTCTCCTTCTAAATTTACCATCCTTGTCTAGAAAGTGCTGAGGGTTGAAGGACTGTGGAGTCTCCCACATCGACTCATCATGGAGGACAGAGTGGAGTGAAGGAATGACCAAGGTGCCCTGAAGATTGAAAACAGACACAAGGTTCAGTTACACCTAAAATCATGTTGCATTGTTTTACTCATTTCTTATTAGTGCAAGGAGTAAAAAAAGTCTGGTAGCCAATAAATATCTATTTGAAGGCTGTACCAATTTATCACCAACATATGGAGCAGCTTCAGTAGTTAAAGGATACACACACAATACCTTCCAGGTATTTATACAGTATTTTCACAATAAACAAATATTTCAAAAATATTTTATGAGGAGAAAGGGATTAAATATATTTATTTAAAGTTATCAGTTAATATTTTAAATGTCTCTTTCTGTTTTCTTCAGTGTGATGGTCAGCCAGGGAAAAGGATTTTGCCTGTGTGATGAGTAAAAAGAATGTAAGAAACTCCAAACACCCCAGTAATAATGCACCTTTGGAATTGAGTATTTATCCAGGGTGGTGTCTTTGGTCATCTTGTGGGCCACATTGAGAGGAATGATGTTTCCCATCCTCTGTATCTCCTGGATTACAGCATCAGTGTAAGGCATGTTTTCTCTGTCAGCCACAGCCGGTTGTCTGGATGGTCCAATCACAGCATCTATCTCAGCCTGGACACATTCTGAACACAATGGAAACTCAATGTCCAGTGGGAAAAATTACATTTTTCAGTGGAACAAAACGGATCAGGTAAAGTGTACCAAATGTTCCTCAAACACCTTGTATGTCAGGATAATAAATCATGTACAAGAGCCCCCAGTGTAACGTGGTGGTGGTGCATTCAGTTCCACCAGCCAAAAGGTCAAGAGTGCAAGATGACAAGTTGAACAGATCAAACCCAAAATCTTTGTCTTCCTTCTGTCAAAGACACAAAAGACAAAGGTAACAACAGGTTCACATATTTACACGTAGATGCTCATTATTATCTGTACGGCATAGCGTGGTGCAAAGGTTTCCTGAAATCACTTTCCTGGGCTAAGCTCAACTTTTTGTCACAAGTAAGATGGAGATTTTTTGGAGAACCCAAATATGACAAAGGAAAGAATAGATGTCAGGGGAAGATACTGGAATAACTAACGACAAATGGATAAACATTTTTTTTTAAACATATCTTTATTACGTTTTCCAACTTATTCAGGCAACAAAAACCCCACCTAGTGAAAGACAGGAAAAATAAAATAAATAAAAATAAGTAAGTCAATAAATAAAACTAAATCAGGAAAAACTGTAACAATATGTTCAAAAAAGAATAATATTGGAGTACAGATAGTACAGAAAGAAAAAAACAAAAGAAAAAAAAACACAAAAACATGTAGCAACATTAAAGCACAGATTAATTAATCTATTAAAAATATACATAAGCAGATTTCCAGGCATTACAGTGTCACTATAATAATGATTGAATTTACACTCAAGTATGGTCCTCTCCAGGAATCTTAGACCAGATAATTCCATAGAGTCCCTTCTGTATAGTCTGTGCACTCTCTATGCCAATGTAATCTAAGAATGGATCCCATGTTTTGTGAAATAACAGAGGTTTGTCCTTAAGCCAGTGAGTCCTTGCCTCTAAGGGAGTTTGTTCCTTCACTCTCTGCAACCATTGTGAAAGCGTAGGAGGTTTGTCAGAGATCCATTGAAGAAGAACACACTGTCTGGCACCAAATAGAAGAACATCTAGCAGTCCCCACTTATAAGAATTTAAGTTCAGTGCATGGTGTAAACCAAGGATACAAGACAGTGGGGTTAGGTCCAGATCCTTACCAAATATTTCAGAAATGTCTTTATAGACCTTCATCCAGAAATTCTTAATGAGGGGGCAGTCAAAGATGCAAAGGTAGTATGTTCCCCCTGAGATCTTTCATTTATTACAGTATTTCGAAAGTGTGGGGTTAAATTTGTTGCTTAATATTGGTGTAATCTGGAGCCTATGGGTGATTTCAAATAGTTGTTCCATAATTTTGTTGGTGGACAAGCAGCCGGGAGAGCTAAGCCATACATCACCCCACCTACCATCTGGGATTGATGTCCCCAAATCTGTCTCCCAGAGCAATTGAAGATGACTTGTGCCCTCAGCTGGGGGGAACAGAGCACCATATAACCTGGTTATCAGTTTTCGGGGCTCAGGGTCTTGTAGCACTTCTTCTATAGAAGAGTGAGAGAACCCACCATGACATAACCTTGCTTTTGAAGATATAAAACTATGGACCTGCAAATACCTAAATAAATGTCTAGAGGGGAGGACGTATTGATCAGTAAGCTGGTTAAAGGATTTGACTATGCCATCAGCTACAAGGGCTCCAATTGTACAAATACCCTTCTCTGACCACAAAACAAATGCCTCGTCTTCGAGGCCACAAGAAAACTCTGGGTTAAAATGAATGGGGATGGCAAGAGAGAGTCAATCATCCTAAGTACTTATCTTTTTGAAAATTCTCCAAACCTTTAACATGTTTTGGAGGAGGAAATTACCCTTTACTTTGTTTGACACACAATTTTTAGAAACATATCAAATATTGCGAAAGTGAACTGGATCCAGAGGGGCAGTCTCACTGCCAAGCCAAGTGGATTGGGGATCATTTCTAAACCATTCCCAGAGATAGCGACCAAGGCAAGCTAATTGATACTATTTAATATTTGGCAAGGATAACCCCCCCGCCCCTAAAGCCCAGCGTACACTGTGCAATTTTTTTCAATTGTTGCACGCATCTGCCGCTCACACCGTACGACTAAACACAGGGCTTAGTCATACGGTGTGAGCTCACAGCATACGATTTATGTTCGGCCCGACGCTCTGATGCAATCTACCTGCTCACACTGTACGACTAAAAACCACGTCGGACTCAGCTCCGCAGTGAGATGGAGCTGCTCCGTAGCTCTCTATCCTGAAGCCAAACAAATAGAAGGGGAATATAAAGCTCACTATAGTGAACCGCGCTGCCTTGGCAATTTGTGCAATTTTGCGCTGAGGGTCCTAGAAAGAAATGGCGACAACGTATTTGGAAAAAGGACGTGGCTGAGCAGGCGTGGCTGCTGCGGTCCGTAAATTTTGCAGATGGAGCTGCATTTCACTCATTGCATCCCCGCAACGCTGCTGTGTTTACATCTGAGAGGAGGAATAAAAAGAAGAATCCTTCTTTGCGCCCTGAGTGATTTGCCCACGACGGTTGGGAGAAAATCAAACATGTCTGATATTCTCCTGATTCCTGATCTGGAGGTGGATGTGTGAGGCTGATCGCCGCTAGTAACCCCCTGCACACTACATGACTCACGATCAGGCTGAAAGTCGGCCTGATCGAAAGATTTTTGCACGACTGGAAAATCGCCCCGAAGATCGCACAGTGTACACCGGGTTTAAGCGAAATTTTTAACTTTTGTTGATTCAGTCTCGCCCTTTTCCTCCTCCACAAAAAGGAGAATGAAGAACTATTCAAGGTAGAAAGTTGTGAATAGTTGAATAGTTTTTTATGAGGTCCAGGTAGCCACTTCATCACAGAGGGAATTGCGTTGTATATGTGCAAATGTAAAAATAAATGTCATCTGCAGGGCAATAAATAGTTTTGATGCTAACATAATTTATATAAATTACCCAGAAACAAAATATCCCATCTCATGCAATCTGGGAAACATTAAATATTATCCAATGACAAATATTTAAATATGTGATACATTTATCAACATTAGATAAATACAGGTTCCTGTATAAGTAACAGCAAAGTCCATCTGTAGGTGTTTTGGGGCCTTAGTGATAGTGATTTTTTTTTGCAGTACAGACTATAATTACCATAGCTGACTTCACACACAATGTAAAATGCATTTTTTTTCACAGAAGACTAACCTGTACCCAAATACCTTCCTGTAAGCGTATTATCTCATTAAAGGTCTCAAGAATTGTGCAGTACTGCTTGTCATTGTACTCAAATCTACTGCCGAAGACCAAACAACAGATTATGTTGGACACGGCGCTGTTAATCATTTTCTGACCAGAAAAAGGTTTCCCTATCAAATAAAATCAGATTGCACACAAAACACAATTTGTCAAAAATAAAGCAGTAAACAGATGGCAAAAACATAGAAAGCTTGCAGTGATGAATTTACAATTACAATTAAATACTTAATAAAAAAAAGGAAAATCCAGTAAAATTTGATTATTTTGTACCTTGCTGATCAGCAATAGCTTCAGTGAGGTATTGACATTCCTGCTGGATGAATTGCTCCATGGTTGTCTTTCCTAGACCAAAGTTCCTCATTGTATGAAGAACAAATCTCCTCTGTACCTTCCATAGGTAACCATTTGAGAAAACAATACCTTAAAAAAAAAAAACTTGTTGCAGCTAATATACTAATATTCTCTAAAAGCAGCATTTAAATTTCTTGTGTAGATAAAATCACCCATAAATTAAACCACCTTTGTTCTTAAAAAACTCAGAAAACAATGGAATGGTTGGACGATCCATGAAGTCTTCTCCTTTTTCCAACAAGAGCTTCTTTCACCTGTCTGTATCCATTAATGATCACAGCTCTTTCCCCAAAGAGATGAAGACTGAAAACGTTTCCATATTTCCTTGCAAACTGACGACAGAAATCATGCAATGTTATACTTTTGTCCTTTGTAAATCATTAGAGACTCAGAAAGTGGACTCAGTGGGGAGTGGCGGCAAAGTGGTCGGGGCATAGAGCTTGGAACCCCCTGGTTCTGAGTTCGAGTCCCACCCTTACAGACTGGCTCTCTGAGCAAGACCCTGCTCCCCAGGCGCCCCACAATGGCAGCCCACCACTTCCCAAGGAAATGGGCTAAATGCAGAGGTAAATTTCTTCAATTTAAGATCAGTAATGTTCAATTATTAAATAGCTGTACCAACCAACTCAGCTGCAGAGCCAGACTTGCAGCAGCAGTACTTAAAATTGAAATATATGAAACCTACAAGATTCAAAGCACAAACAATACAGTAAAAATCATCGATGAATTAAAATAAAACCTTCAATATACAGAATTTGTCAAAGATATGTGTGGGGGGAAAAAAACTCTAAATTAGATTTTGCTGCTTGTGAAGGGGGATAATAATCAATGATACAGATGAAATGGAAGCCATCCATCCATCTGGGAATTGTTAGGAATCAAGTTTGTGTGGGTTGTGTTTTTGTGTGTTTTCCCTCCACTACCAGGTGGCGCCTGGCTCTCATTGGCCGTCTCACACACCTGCAGATGGTTGCCTCATTACCGGAGGATTCTTAAGCTGCTGACTGCCACTACCTCGAAGCCAGAGTGTTTGCCAGTTTTGGGTACTCTAGCCAAGCTGA